AAAGCAACATTATATGACTATAAGCAAGAAAGCAACACCACAATTTAAATTGCATATAACTCAGAGTAGGAAGAATTGATGACTAATCGCATCCCATTATAGTACATTTTGGGGCATTTTAGCCCTTGCGGGTGTAGAAATGATTTTGGTGACCGGTCATACACCCCCGTATTGACGCAACATGAAATAGTAAGAGTTTATCTAAGATGAAAGCATGTCAAAGGGGTTTGGAACGGGCATGCGGCCATGGACAACACGTTCTAGACAAGCATGATCAGGATATCCGACATGCGGCCATAAGCAACACACCTTGGACAAACATGACCGTAACATCCTCTCACACTTAATTGGTTGACGTCTCTGTCAACTGACTCTTTGCGAACTCAATGATGTAGGTTGAGGCTGACTTTATGTCCCTCGACGCGTTACCAGCTGATCTCAACAATGAGGAGTCTTTTCCAATCTACAAGGAACTGTTGAAAACCACTTCTCAGTTCGTTGACTGTTGGCGTCTTCTCTGTCGACATCTCTCCTACTTTCTTTGCTTGAAAATTTTCTTCTTTGTGTGATGATGTGTCACCTCTTGCTGCTTGACGTCTTCTTATTCGAGATAGTAACATTTCAAGTTACTAACGTGGACAACAGGGCTAGTCTGCATCCATGGGAGCAATTGGATCCTATATGATGCTTTTCTGACCTTGTGGATAATTTTGACTGGTCCATAATATTTTCGCACCAATTTTTTATTCTTGTTGTTTTGACCTTGGGGTTGATCTAACCTCAATTTGATCAAAACTCTCTCTACATCTTGAAATTGTTGTGGTCGACGCTTCTGACCGGCCCTTCATTTTTCCATCACTTGCGGACTCCTACTCCACCCTATCACTTGGGGTTGATTGATACTACATTGAACAATCGTTCAGTGATAGCATAGGCCGTGGAAAGGTCTTGAACTCTGTGTTCGTAAAGCTTGATTTTCGTCCACAGCTTCAGTCCCTCAATAAAACTGAAGACTTTGTTTATCTCAAACATATCACGAATATCTAACATAAGCCCAGAAAACTACTTAACGTAGTCTCCGATACTACCAATATGCCTTAGCTCTTTTAACTTCCTTCTTGCGATTATCTCGACATTATCTAGGAAGAACTGTGAGCAGAGTTCTTGTTTCAAGCTATCCTGAGTGTCCACGGTACATCGACCCTCTTGAATGTCCATGTACTTGGACCTTCACCACAACTTAGCATCGTCGGTTAGATGCATTGTTGCCAACGTGACCTTTGCTTCTTCTGCCACGATATTTGTGGCTCAAAAGTATTGTTCGAGGTTGAAGATAAAATTCTCTAGAGCCTTGTCATCTCGAACCCACAGAAGGGCTTGGGCTTCAGGATTTTTATCTTGTTAAACTGTACTACACCCCAAGCCGGGGTTTGGTACCCCACCGCTCTCATGGTGAGTTTAATTTGGCGCTTAGATCTGCCACTTCAGCCCTGACCACTCCAAGGGTTGCTCTCAAATCTTCAGACAAATTTGAAACCATCTTAACGATCGCTTGTTGGGCATCGTCTAAGCCCTCGATGCATTCTTCCATTCGAGCAACCGAGCCTGTCGAGCTATCCCTATGCTCGAAGCCACTAGAAGTTGTAGCCTTGTCTTCTAGGGCCTCGACGCTAGACATTAATTCGCGAACAGGCATTTCCTCAAGGCAGCCTGCCATCTCATTGATCCTGTCGGCTTTAGCGGCAATCTCAATCATGTGAGATTCCAAAAGCCCCATTCCATCAAGAACTTCACTCATGTAGAGTAACTATTCTTCAATTTCAGCTAATCAGTCAATCTGGGACTTGTCTAGTTGTTTTGCAGCTAACATGGTTGTGTACTACTTTTCGAGGAGCCGACTTGGCTCTGATACCACTTGTCACAATCGCACTCTTGCATCAACGAGACAGCAATTGTGTGGCACTTGTTCTAACCCAACGAATAAGTCAGTCGTGAGAAATTTGAACTTTGTGGACAATGTCGGTGTATGCTCGTAGACATGATTTTGGGACATTTTAGCCCTAGCGGGTATAGTCATGATTTGGAGACCAATCATACACCCCCATATGGACACAACATGAAGTAGTAAAGACTTATTTAAGATGAAAGCATGTAAAAGGGATTTGGAACGGGCATGCGGTCATAGGCAACACGCCTTGGACAAGCATGACCGTGACAACAAACGCCTAGGCAGTTGAATTCTTTGGTATGATCTCCCACCGTTCTTGACACTTGCTTGCAATGATGATAATGATTAAAAAGGATATGTTCGTATTATTGGTCAAGTCTTGATAGTTCTCTTCCTGAAACCTCGCCTATTGTTTTGGACTTGGGGAGTTGGTCCCACTAAGCGGACGCTCCCTCTTTGAGTTTTAATGTTACTAACTTAACCTTCTTTTCTTCCAGACATGTAATAAAGAGTATATTAAAGAAAAAAAAAAGTCTTACCATTCTTGATCTAATTGAGACAATCTTCAACGTCCAAATTCCATTATAGCTTGGAAACCAATCTTAAACTTGTAATCATTTATGTTCCAAATTGAATACCGATTGGGTACAAAGTCCCCTTGCCTGCAGATCACTTGATTTTCTAAAGCTGGTAAATATCGTGGTGCAGAAAATCTTCTTCTTTACTGGAAGAATCGAATTCTTGATTTATCACCCTTCTTTGATCTTGTATTGATTGATGGGAGTTGACTAATGATCTCAACTATGATTGCCCCAATCTGAGTTTGATTCTCTCAAGTTGGACCGCCATGGAAGTAATTACATGTTGCATACCTCCAAGGGTTTCTTCAACCGACAGAAAGCCTTAAGTTGAAGTTAGAGGGATAGCGCAAGGGTGGAATGTAGACTCTAAACCAGATTGATCTTTGTCAACTCTGAGGTAGCTGGCAGCCTTCTTTCCAGCCATGGGATGTCCATTTTATGAGGGCTTCGATACCAAACTAAAGTAATTCAAGGAGAGTTCTGAATTTTATTTTAACAAAATACCCTTTTACAACCTAAAAGACAGTTGTTTATAGCCTCAAAGAGCCCGTAACTAAAGCATATCAAACTCTTGGTAAACAAGCTTCACTTATACGGGTAAAAGGTAAATGCAGAACAAGCTATGGAAAGAATGACAACGAATAAGAAAGCTAAAGAATGGTCTAACGACCCCAAGAAAAGTTTAAAAATCTCAAAAGCCTCTTACATCACAATCATTTAAATTCTATCATTTTTAGTCAGCAATACAAATTCTTACAGTCTTTTTCTTCTATGAAGAATAATATCTTATCGTTTTGTTTACACTGTATAATCCATACATACTCTATATCACACTGAAGGAAAAAAAAAGTATATTGATCTATAATAATAATAATGACAGTGGAGAAATTACCTCAGAAAACTTTTCATCTGAAAGCATGCAAATACTGACGTCTTTCATCACATTGGAAACATGAAGAAGGAATCTTGTACCCAAATCACCAGGTATAGAAACTTTCTTCACCCCTAAAGAATGTCAAAAAATAAGATCACTGAATTAATTATCTGAGATGACATATGGTTGGACGGTAAGCACATAACATAGTAGGACCTATTTAACTCCGGTAACATTCTTTCAATGGTTTTCATAACAATGGTTTTCATAACAACAATTTGCAGTTATCTCCATGAAGAATATAAATAAAACGTATACAAGATTACAACGAAGTTTATATTTGTAGAGATAAATTATTCTAGCTAGCGTATTCCCTGTTCATGAATAAAAAAGGATAGGTTGGTTACCTGTAACTTGCACAAGCTGATGAGTATTTTTCTGAAGATAGTCATGGGGATCAGATCTAATCCTGACAAAGCTACCAATCAACTTGCTCTCAAAGGTTTCATGATCTTTAACCAGATCCTCTACTAAACTCTTTCTCAAGTAGACAAGATTAATATTTCCAGGAGCCATGGCAGCAAAAGAAGTATTTGGGTTCACCAGCACTCTCGTCTTCTGACTGAGCTTTCTTCCTGGGGTTTTACCATTCTCCCGTTTGAGGGTATTTAAAAGATTCTCCGTCTCGTCAGAGCTGTAAGAAAAGTCATCATCTGATTCATCTTGATTCTCCGCAAAGTGCGGCTCTAGCATGTCATGGATTTTAATACGGCCAATTGTTTTCCTTCCGAAAATGGAATGGAGCTTATCATCGCAAACGATTCGTTTCTTTCTAGAAGGATGAAGAAGGTTGTTAATACTGACATATTCATTTACAAGAGAGGTAACGTCGTGTCGAGAAATCTTCTCTTTGGTATCCTTACCAATTGATTCAAGAAATTCAATAAGTGGTCTTGATCCCCAACCAACGAATTCATATTTCTTGGATCTAATTTTCCTTTTCATTCTTACAGGAGTACATACCTGCTGTCTACTACTTTCGATCCACTCGAGCGAATCCATTCTTCATCCTATATAGTTGGTAGCATCGTCATTCTAGAGAGAAACTGATCCCCGCCCAAGGACAGCGGAGCTTCCAAGCTTCTCCATAAACAACAATGGAACCCCACCGGTTCTGTCGAATGTATACACGAAATACTTCGTTGACAATTCAGTCACATATATTTGGGTTTTTTTTAAATAATAAAACTTGAAACCATTAGGGGCATTTGAGACAATGGAGTGTTTAGTCTCAAATTATTTAACCAGATACGAGGAGTTAATTAATGTGTATTTATTTATTTTTTATACTTTTGTTGTGTTAAAACATTAAAATTATATTTAAAGATTTTAAAAAAATTTAACTTATAGATTTGTTCCCGTTAATCCTAAAATTAAGTCATTGTTTTATAAATATTTTAAAATTTTGTGTAATCACCAAATGTGATTAGGTCCCTCAAATGATCCATTGAGGGGCTTATTTCTTTTAAGGTGTTTTGGGCTGAGAAGAATCTCCCAACCTCAGATTATGAAACAAAAGGGTAAAGAAAGAGGAAAGGACACAACCAACAAAACATTCACGTGTCAAATTCATAGGCGCGCATTGATATTACAGAAGGGTAGAGGGAAGGAATAACAAGTATTGGTCTGTCAAATACAAGGAATAAATTTGATGCAGGACTGACTATGAAATCACAACTTCAGTTTATTTAAACAAGCTACAATGGTTGTGAAAGACGACATTATACTTCTGTTCATCAACTGGTTGGTTCATCTATCCGTTCTTCACCTTCTTTTCCTGGAACAAGTTGTACTGCTACCATTGCCATCACTTCTCCAGGAGGTGGGTGGTCAAATTTGCAAGTAGACCCATACTTGCAGGTACCAGTTTTGAGATAATATGGACAAATTATGGCATCCTGTCAAGTAAAAGGATTATTTCAGATACTCTTGGTTTACATATAAAATAATCTCAACCAGATAAGATGACTCAACAGGTAAATAATCCTTTCGTTCTTTTTTTTCTTTTTCTTTTTTTTTTTTTTTTTTTTTTTTTA